AAAAAACAACACTTTATGACTATTCTTACCAAAGGGAGTACTTGTTGAAAGTGTTTCGTCTGGTCACTCTTGTCTCTTCTTTCTTTCTTTTCTTCACGTGGTCACTGAAATGTTCATTTTGACAGCTTCAAGTTCGTCCAGAACCTGAGATGTTTATTTTTATTTGACATTCTATATTTGGCCCTTATCCGGACTTGTATTCCAATTTGTGATATCACTGCCTGTGTTCTTCTGAGTAGAACTTAGAGACGATCCTGTTTGGTCCCATAATAACGAGAAGCCCGGAGATGTAACTTGAGGCGCATTTGTGTGTGTTTTGAGGCTTTGGGTTATGCTGATGAATATGTCAAACATATTTAAAGAAGGCAATGACGGCATGTTTCTATGTTCTCATGTACAGCCCTTTTATATTATTCATTATTGTTTTAAAGATTGAAATAAAACAGAATTGTAGTAGATCACCCTGCTGCGCGGCAAGCTGTCTGGGAATGTGTTGGTCAATAATGCATGCCTGTTTTCAGTCTGAATGGATTCTGAATATGAGGGTGTATAATTAATGTGGACTGAAACGCTGTAGTTTTGCACACTGGCAGCAGAGGGAGCCGTCGGACCATCTCCTGGGGGCTGGTATAGTTTTAAAATATGACTATTATGAGTTCACTTTAAACATCACTCACTCACTTTGACATTAAGGCATATTTTGACATCGATGCATGCAGTTATTCGTTTGAAATGCTAGGTTTCTCTAGCTAATTCAGCTTTTTATGACTTTTTTTTACATTGTAAAACCCAACAGTTAACTTTATCAAAGGAAATGAGTGTACAGTGTTAAACTCAATGTAATGAAAGTTAACTTATTTAAAAAGAGTTTTGAACTCAGTGTTGAGGGTAATGAATTAATTAAATACCTCATTACTTTAACTTAAACAGAGTAAGTTCACAGGACTCGTATAGATTAGTTTCTTAACTCAAATGATTCGTAGCAATCAGTTTTCTTAAATGCTTATTGAGTTTTACAGTACTCAGTTGGTTTGAGTTCTTTATTTATTCTGTTTTACTGTGCTCAAATTGCTTCGTTTACTCAAATGGGGTAAGTTCACAGTACTCATTAGGATTAGTTTTTGGAATTAAATGGTTTGTTGCAATTGGTTGGCTCAAACGATTTGAGTTACCTCAACTTTTTGGGTTTTACAGCGTAGAAATAAGGATCTAGAATGTAGTATAGTATCTATGTGTGTACATTTTAGCTGACACTTTTTGCATTGGTTTAGTATGGCTCATTATTTAATTATGATTTGCGCGCATCAAGCAGTCCCTGGAGAAATGGGTCATTACAAGGCTTTCCAAGTCCATTACACTTGGAGCAAAAAAATGGAAAATGAGATGATTTAAGATGCCAGCACTTTGTTTGACCCCTGTTTGATTCTATTTTTAAAGACACTGATACGTTTAGCATTTATCCATGTACTGATACGTTATGAATGAGTGATTAGATTAATGAGCCTTGCCTTTTGTATGAGTGTGCTTGTCACTTTTATTTGTCAAGTTCAAGAAGGCAATCTAAGATGACTTGAGCTTTGTTTTTATGGAAGATTGTCCTGCTGGAAGTGACTGTCACAAGATTGCTTCACTGGAGTCATAAAGGAATGGAAATGGTCAGCAATACTCAGGTAGGCTGTGAGTTTTTCTGATATACATTCTGTAATAAAGGGTTTGTTCATACAATAAATTAAAATTCAAGATAGCACTTTACTTTAAGGCGTGTTCATAACACTGTCGTGAAACTTTTATAATGTGAGTGAGATTTTATCTGTGCTTAAAACAGCAGTTATTAAGTGTCATACGCTCAATTATGACATTTCAAATGCAAATATGCGATTACACTGCAAAAAATGCTTTTCTTGCTTTTTTTTTGTCTCGTTTCTAGTCTAAATATCTAAAATTTCTTATATCAAGAAGCATTTTCTAGACAAGCAAAACATAATGTCTTCTTTTGAGAAATAATATGCCAATATTAAGTGAGTTTTTCCTTAAAACAAGCAAAATAATCTGCCAATGGGGTAAGCAAAATAATCTTGTTTTTTCTTTTGACGTAAGATTGTTTTGCTTACCCCATTGGCAGATTATTTTGCTTGTTTTAAGAACAAAATCACTTAATATTGGCTAATTATTTCTCAAAACAAGACAATATGTTTTGTTTGTCTAGGAAATTCTTATTGATTTAGGAATTTTTAGACATTTGAACTAGAAACAAGACAAAAAATCTAAGCAAGAAAAGGATTTTTTGCAGTGTATTTGTTATCTCTTGATGTAAACAAATACATCATAACCTATTTTTGTTCTTGTCATGACCACTTGACATTATTAAGATTACATAAATCTGTCATAAACATGATTGTCATGAAGACATTATTATTGTCATGCATTTATTTATTTTTATTTTTTAAACTACAGTGGTACAAGCTGAATTTGTCATTAAAATGTAATTAAATATGTTAATGATGCTCTTAAATTATTTAAAAGAGTAATGACTTCTTTAATGAGACTTTTCAATGACAAATAGTTTATTCCACTGAAAAAAGTGAAAAGAAAAATATTTATGACAGCATTATAATGGCCTCATGACAATCATGTTTATGACAGATTTATGACAACATAAAAAAATTCACTTTCTATTTAAAATGTCATAATTGAGCCAATTGACACACACTTAATAATTGTCCTAAGCATGCATAAAATCTCATTCATTTCATGTCATGATTATAAACGTCTCATGACAGTCTTAAAAATACCCCTTCAACTAAAGTGTTACCAAATTCAACATCTTCAAAACACAATTAAAGATATTTTAGATGAAATCCAAGAGCTCCGTCTTCCACAATAGATGTTCAACATCCAGAAAATGAACAGGAAAATTGACAAAACATTCTGTGACTTCAGTGGTTAAACTAAACATTTGAAAACACCTTTGTGTGCCAAAAAAAGGTCAAATGATTTCTCCAGTGTCTTCACTTTCTTGTCACTTCATCAGGGTCAGAGTTTACTATTGGTCAGCAGTGCAACAAATTAGCAGTGTATGGCCCTTAGTAAACAGGCACCAGAACCTGAGGCAGTGAAAAAAAAGACTTTGGTGATAATTTTTACTGGTACTTTTGTTTGGTGCAAAACTCTTCTTTGAGCTTCATGTGATTACAGTTAAATCAGTTGATATGTCAAAAAAACTTCATAGCAGCATCATCAATTTTTAGGGACATTTTTAGAACATTCAGTTTGTATCACTGTAGTTGGGGTCAATAAAAATATTAATGATGCCATTAAATAACACTTAATAAATTATATGACAATTGTAATGGCCTTATTGCAATCATGTTTATGACAGATTTATGACAAGTTGTATCATCTTGATAATGTCAAGTTGTCATAGCAAACAAATGTCATCTTTCCATTTAAAATGTCATAATTGAGCCAATTGGCACACAATAACTGTTGTCATAAGCAAAGCATAAAATCGCATTCGCATTCATGAGAGTCTTATAACCACCCCTTCAAGTAAAGTGTTACCTTATTCAGTAAATAAATACTCAAGTAATTTATGTCATCCTCATTTAAAATTGAAGATATTTTAGATGAAATCTGAGAGCTCTCTCATCAGTAGATGTTCAAAGCCCAGAAGAGGAACTGTAAAATTGTCTAAACATTTCATGTGACTTCAGTGGTTAAACTGTAACCATACCAGACTCAAAGAACACTTTTGTGCCAAAAATGGTCAAATTATTTATCCAGGGTCTTCTCTTCCTTGCCATGTCTTTATGAATGGTGCAAATTTACTATGGGCATGGTATATTGCCTTTAGAGTCAACAAGGTAGCATTGTATGGCCCTTAGTAAACAGGCAACCAAAAAAGAAGCTCTCTGATTTCATGTAAAATATTTTCATTTATGTTTTAAAGGGTGGGTTAGGGTGGTAATTGGGTAACACTTTGTTGATGGTCCATTTGAGTATTAGTAGAATGCCTGCTTAATATCTGTAAATACTGCTGCTAAACAGACATTTAACTGACTATAAGAAATTTTGCAAGTACATGTCAACTTAAACCAACCCCAACCCTAACAGTCTACTTATAATCTAATGAGAATTAGTTGCAATGTAACTTAAACTCATCAAACGGACCATCAAAATAAAGTGTGACCGGTAATTTAAAAGCATAACTTGTTTTTGTGCTAACCTAATATTTTAAGTGGGCATAAGTGTCTCAAGGAAATTTCTCTCATTTTGTTATCACACCTTGTTACCAGACCCAAATTCTGACCCTAACATTTGAATTGCAGTAGAAATCAAGACTCATCAGACCAAAAAAAACTAAAAAACATTTGAATTGTCATGAATATTTTGATAACTTAATGTTTTTCTGTGGGATAATATGAATATCATTAAAAAAGTTCTCAGTGACAGTGCCAATAGTGTCAAATAAATTTATAGCAGCATCGTCAAATGATGTTTTAATAACATTTTTAACATGAACTTGTATCCCTGTACAGTAGTTGAGGTCAAAATACTAATGATGCTGCTATAAATGTCATGACAATTACAATAACCTTATTCACCTTATTCTCCGCCGATGAGTGGGCGCTGCCATTTGAATCTTTTTGGCTTGAGACTTCCGGTCTCATTTACTTCCATTCATTTTTTGACGTTAAAAACTGCTCGTTACGCTGCTTGATGTTGCAATTTGATATTTTCTTATTATATTATTCTACTTGGTCTATATTGTCATGCAAACATTTGTTAGTAGAGCAAGTAGTTTGACCGTTTTCTGCCGTTTATTATTCCTAGTCATTTCTCCCATAGGCGACTGAATCGGAAGTTCTAAGACATTCGCGAAAACAGGCGCACTTCCGCATTTTAGAATAAGGTCAATAGCAGTCATGTTAACATGATAAAAGTAACATGACAGTTAAAGTTAAAGAAATACAGCAAAATAAAGAAATACAATGACATCATTACAATCAAATGTCTTTATTAATACATGCATGTAACAGGAGATACGGTTACAGTTGTAACTGGTCTAAAAATGTTTGTCAGATACAAGTATGAATGTAACTAAAAGAAGGCCTTCTCATTTTTCCATCAGTCCAGCCCACGCTGACAGTCCTGTGGGCCACCTAACATCTTACAGCTCCACACAGGCCTGTCCAACTCTGTACATATATCATTAAAAAGATTTATTATTTTAAAAAAATGAGTCTAATGAATACATAAAAATGCTAACCGACTCAGAAGAACGTATCCACTAGCACACTACAGTGCAAGTTAGTCATGATGAAAATGTTAGTCCTCCAAAGCTGCAAGTGCTGGAATATTCCTCCGCCGAGGCGTTCATTCCCGTACATAAATCCGTGTGCACACCACATCATCAGCCCCAAACATCTGAGCAAGGAAAGACAATTTCAGAACTTTCTGTTATTTGCACTTCATTGTTATTCTGTAGTAACTGGTTATAGACCATTTCAATGTAATCGTATCGATGGCCCATGAACATTTTCAACTTGTTATCAAACTATTTCATAACTATAACAAGAGGCCGTTCAATCAAAACTTAATTTAATCTAAATTTGTAGCCTTTTATAGCCATATCCAAATTTAAAGCCTTTGAATATTTTTCCAGACACATTTAGCTTCTAGATGTTAGTCAGATAATGTTTCTATGTTCCTTCTTAATGCCAACTGTGTAAACAATTACCTATAAAATTCCTATGATAAACTGTTGTTTGTGTACATTCAAGCTCTGCTTCCTTCAGTTGCTTGATGTGTGTGCACGTGATGCAGCCGGTGAGCAAAAGTGCAAAGTTGGAACACTCACTCTGGTCCCCCGGGCTCCGTGATTGGTTGGGGAAATTCCAAATTAAACCAAACAAAAACCATTACAAGTGGCTTAAGATTGGCAATAAAAATTTGGGACATTACAACCTGCATAACCTGGGAACTTTTTTTAAAAATGCTGCGAAATCTTGTTTAAATTTATGTAATTAAAAAGAGTGTTATAATGACATAAAACTATTTTAAATTACGTACTTCGTATACTGATGTACAACAAAAGGCATGTGTTGTGGCATGGAAAATTTCTCGTTCATGCTTTTATTTTAGATATCCTACGACGTGCTACCACTTATGTACATATTAAATGTTACATATAAATACATAAAAGCATCAAAAATACATCTTTAAATGTTTGCAAACGTTTCAATTATTTTAGCATATCTTAAACTTGTAGCTATTGATGATAATGTTACTAATATGATTAGTCTTGTTAAAGTCTCAGGACTGAGAATAGACTATAAAAAGCACCTAATATGGTTATAATTGCATTGTAGAGAGGTAGAATAGCTTTTGATCAAGCATTCAACGCAGATGATCCATTGGGGTCCTAAGCAGACTCGATTGCAGGGTGGATTTCTCACCACACCGGCAAATTTTAAAGAAAATGTTACAACTTTTCTTTCCGGAAAATTGTCGAGTCTGTATATGTGAAAGGGGCTAATGAAAGTCTTTCAGCTTGCATAATCAAGGCTGCATCCAGATACTATTGCTGTTTTTTGGGGGTTTTTTTGCACTCATACATTTGTTAAAATAGCCACACAAAAAAACATTGCATCATTCAAAATTATTATATATGTTTTATGCCAAATCATTACAATATAAACATGTTTCATGAAAATATTTTGTCAATTTAATTTTTTTTTTGTAATGTGCTAATAACTTAATTTAGACAATTGCAAAGATAATTTTATTCAATATTTAGATTTTTTTTTAAAACCTTGAATTTCAAATATTCAATAATATCTCAACCAAATATTGCCCTAACAAGCCAAAATCAGTTTGATTATTGCATATATCATATACCAAATAACATTAAAAAAAACAAAAAAAAACAATATGGCTAGTCTTGTAGTCCACGATCAAATATCTCAGTTCATTTTGCACGCTCTTTCTCACAATACAAAATCTCATTTTCAACTGTAAATTGTTTCATACGTGAACTTGAATTGAGTCTCACTTTAATGCTTTGATCGTAATGAGAGGAAGTCCATCTGACATCACCTCGGTGCAGCATTTCCATGTTTGCCGGAGTTTAAAAATCACACCAAAGCAGAACTAGAGCAGCTGACAACACCATTCACCATCTGCACTCCAGAGCAGGAAGAGGCAAGGACCACCTCACACTCTCTTTTTAAGAAAAAAAATGGTGTTAGGACGGGCCATCTGCTGTGCCGGAGCCCAGGGAGACATTAGAGATAGGAGTGTCAGGCCCCTACACACCGCCAGCATTCCTGCATGTAACATGATCAATTACACATATTTGACAAATATTTTCTGGGTCACCGCCGGTACCTTTGCTCCATGATACCAGCTTTATAGTAATGCGTCCATTTTTACTCCCCTAAAAAAGCTGCACATTAATCATTTGGGCGAAAAAAGGCAACTATTTATAATGAAGAGTGCAACAATCCACAAGACTAATGGTTGGAAATGGTTCATATGGTATCAACATTCATTTCCATAAACCAAAAGCAGATGCTATTGAAGTTGTGTACGCAACAAAGCGCTTTTAAAAAATGAGCTGCAGTTGGTCAAATACTTTGGCATGATTATTCGGCTCATGACAAAACAGCTGGTCACCGATGGAAAGACATGCATCACCATTGGGAGGTTTGATGTGAGACAGCTGAATCACTGGATCAATCTGATGCATCGCGTTTTCTGCTGGGACTAATAAGGCACAGATGTGACTTGAGCATGTCTTGTCCTGCACGCTGTAATGCCACCGACTGTGGCACGGATCAGGGACGTGTTAATGAAGACCCAAAATACTACTGGATGCAACAAAGCTGGCTGCATATTTTCCAGTTGAGGTCATTTATTTAGCTGTAACTTTCTACAAACATCGGCCAAAAATAATTTCAAGTTAAATAAACCTCAATGGGCAAACTATAAATGTAACAATAATAAAAGGAAAATAGTGCAATATTATAAATAAAACGGGCTACAAAAGGGGTATTTTGACAGACATGCTATTGAATAAACTTTTTTTTTTGTTCATCAGAGTGTGTAAAAGTGCAATTTCTTCCTGGAAATAGAATGTTTGATCATCTAATGCTTCGATGGATAATATGAAAACATTGATGCCAATGAAGAACTTGCGTATATTATATACAGTAGTCGACATTTGAATAGTTTTTCATCAAAGTCATTCAAAAACTATTATACAAGACCCATTTTTGTCTAAGGCAATTTTGAAAAACATTTTTGATCCACATTGTGACTAATATTAATTTCAATTCATCATAATTTCTATAGTAATTACATTGAAGGCATGCTATCCATCTTGGAAAAGAAGAAAAGGTAGTTCATGCTTTTATGACTTCTAGGCTGGATTACTGTAACGCTTTGTTGGCTGGCTGCCCAGCGTCCTCTATTACTAAACTTCAGTTAGTGCAAAATGCAGCTGTTAGAGTTCTTACCAGGTCTAGAAAATATGATCATATCACCCAAATTTTATCCTCCTAACACTGGCTGCCTGTTAATTTCTGTATTGATTATTGCTTCTTATCTATAAAGCAAAAATTGTCTTATCTAACCAATGTTCTGTCTCACTACAATCCAACCCGCTCCTTTTAGATCTAAAACCCAGGGCTTCTGGTAGTACTCAAAATCGCTGAGTCAACTAAAAGTCTTCTCATTTATGGCTCCTAAAATCTGGAATAGCCTTCCTGATAATGTCCGAGGCTCTGACACACTTTCTCAGTTCAAAGCTAGATTAAAAACCTATCTTTTTAGGAAAGCATACACACATTGCATCACATAACAGTATAATGCATGAGTGTGCTTCAGGACTTCCAGGACAACACATACACTTAATATACTTCATTGAACATGAACGCACAGACATCTCCTATATGCAATAAAATTGCAGGTTAATTATGTATATAATAACTATATATAATAACTGTATATAATAAAATAAAAGTAATTTTTACACAATCTGATTGTAATGCAGCGGTTCATTCCCCTGTGGCGACCCCAGATTAATGAAGGGACTAAGCCGAAAAGAAAATGAATGATTGTAATGCAATAATGTGCACCTTGTAACGCTGCTTTGAAACAATAATTATTGTAAAAAGCGCTGTACAAACAAACTTGGGTCCAGTCACTTTAAGAGGCCAGATTTAAGTGGGTTTCAAAGCATTCTGGATTTACAACATATAGTCAAATTTCAATAAATAAAAAGGGTAACACTTAAAATTAGTGTCTATTTGTTTTTTTCACCTGTATTGAACTGAATATCAATCCTATAGATTTAAAGTCTTGTCAAAGTCAGAAGTGGTACTGTTTTATGTTAATTGCTGCATATCATCTCAAAATTCTAGCCCTGTCGGGTGAAATGCCCAATTTTAAAGGGAGTAAAAAAAGGTTAATTTTATGTAAAATAACACTTTATTAACAATTCATGTGAAAAAAAAGCAATTTATGCCTCTAAACACACTTAAAGAGGACTGAATTTTGCAAACAGAAAAAACACTGTTTTTTTTTTTTTGTCTTCTGAAGATTCAAAGAGTTCATTATTTTATAGTTTAATAGCTGTTATTTTTTTAAGTCATCCAATTGCTTTAAAGGAAACATGTTTACTCACTTTTTAACGTAAACCAATTTTTTTTAGTGTAGTGAACCTCAAAAATGAACATTTAACTTTGTTTCCCTGGTAGAACACTTAAAAAAGAAGACTTTTTTGGTGATTCATGTACATTGTAAACAAAATTCTGGCTGCTTAAAATTTTCTAGGCATCGCAACTTACATAAGTCAAATGAACTATATTAAGTTTGTGTTTAAAAAAAGATTGTTGAAACTCATTAACTTATTAAAATGGACACATTTGCTGTCATTATTATTGTTCTTTTTTTTACAGTGTGATAAAAGTCAATATCTAACGTACCTTTGATATTTAAAAAACATGCAAAACAACATTAATACCCACACTGCAAAACAAAATAAGTTGACAACTTAAAATTGTAGGGCACAGTTCTGAGAAGAGTATATACGGAGTTCAGCACCAGCTCCAATTAGTCTGTATTTGAGCTCCAAGTGGGCTGACCTGACCTGGAGTTTTTATTTATTCAATGTCTTATCCATGACACTAATATTGTGCTTTATGAATGTCTACACCTACCCCAAGCCTATGAAGCCAACTTCATAGTAACCGAATGTGTTATATTTGTGTCTATACCCCAACCCAAAACCCAATCTTACAGTAACCTGTTGTGTTTTATTAACATCTACTCCAACCCTAAACCCAACTTCATAGTAGCTTAATGTGTTTTATTAGCGTCTACACCAATCCAAAACCCAATCTTACAGTAACCTGTTGTGTTTTATTAACATCTACTCCAACCCTAAACCCAACTTCATAGTAGCTTAATGTGTTTTATTAGCGTCTACACCAATCCAAAACCCAATCTTACAGTAACCTGTTGTTTTATTACACAGCAAAATCCTCTGAGTAAAATTTACAGAGAGTATTTGGTCCCTCTTTATAATAAGACAAACAGGTTACTAATCACTAAAGCTGCTGTTTGTGTAGTTGCTCATTGATCGAGTTGATCCTGTGCTGAGATTTTGAGAGATTCAATGTATTATATTTCAGCTGATTTCATCAAGGCTGTGACTGAAGTCAGTTGTATTTTTGTGTTTCTCTTCTGTGTTACAGCTTAATAACAGCAGGTGTTCATCATCAGTCCTTATTCATCACCTAATTAATCCTTTCATTGTCTCATTAACTTGAGGGAAATTAACTAAATTTAGAGAGGGACCAAATAATATCTAACCTGAGTAAATTTAACTCAGAGGTTTTGCTGTGTAACGTCTACACCTAGCCCAACCGTAAACTCAACATTACAGTATCCTGTTGTGTTTTATTAATGTCCACTCCACCTACACCACCTAAACCAAACCTACTTGTGGAGTAAGTCCCTTCCACTCAGAGGTCACCCAACATATTTGTGGTGTAATACCTACCACTTGGAGGTCTCTGGGCTGCAGCGATACCTACTTGCAAGTACTGCATTTTTGCAAGAACTTGCTTTGATTTAAGTTGAGTCAACTCAAAAAGTACTGCAGTAATTTGCCTTACAATTTTATGTTGTCAAAGCTTTTTTAAGAGAAACAACTTTTAACCCAAGTACAGCACGTGCCTCCTCAATTTAAATTGAGTCAACTCAAAACTCTGCAGCAAGTTGAGTCAACTTTTTTAAGGTGCATAACCACTGATGATACATCGAGATGAAGCAAAACTAAAAGTTGGTGCAAAAAAACGAAAATAATTTACAATTCAGTCAGTTAAAATGAAGTCAAATAAAATAAATAGAGTCAAATTCAAGAGTTCAAACTGAGCTCATGATTATCACATAGCTTGTTGTGCTCACCCGGGAGAGAGCCCTGAGCTCAAGGCATCCTCGGGCCCAGGGCTCCCCCCTTTTTCAGGGTGAGGGGAAATTGAGCTCAGATCGAACTCAAACTCCACCACTGCTGAGGCCAAGGTGAACTTCATGAGAATAAGATATTAGAAAAAAAAATTTAGGCTTATTTTATCTATAATATAGAGAAATATTTGGACAGTGGGAGGAAACCGGGGAACTCAGGGGAAACCCACTCTGACACGGGGAGAACATGCAAACTCCACACAGAAATACCAGATGGCTCAGCAAGGAGCCGACGCCATTGGTATTCTTGCTGTGAGGCAATTGTGCTAGTCACTGGGCCACTGTGCCGCCCATTCTGGATAAAGGCGGAATAAGGGGCGGAAGGGGGTTTCATCCAGACGAAGATAGTTTTAGAAAGAAAACGAGGATATATAGTGACTTGGAATCCTTTGATTGTAAGATCATGATTAGCTAATGTGGGCCAGCTGGGTCAACCATGAGCACACGCTCCCCTCGAAATTAGTTTAAAATTAAACTTCACTTAATTTACATTCGGTCTGGAGCACAAGCGTCACGACACAAATAGTGAAGTATATCTAATGTTGGAAATCTGTAATATTAACATAATATAGTGTAATGCTGAAATGACTGATCATTTCACTAAAGGGCTCAGGTTCTCATTTGGAGACTTTTTTTCTTCTTTGGACTCTCACAGTGAAAAGTAGCCCCTGACCTGCATTTAATGAATCATCAAGCACATCAGTTTATGTTAAAAATCTTCTGAAGAAAAAAAAATCTTATACGGCTTAAGAGAGCAAAAATTATTTATTTATTTTTTTCAGGAGGACTGTCCCTTTAACTGTCTGCACACATAACTGAGACAAACCTTCTGCAGCAATGAAATGCTATTGGTGTGGCAGAAGAAGTGTCTCACAAGGTTAGAAGCTACTGTAAGTTGTGTTCATTTATCCTTTATTTAATTGTCACAAACGGCTCTTTATGGCGCATATTCTCAGTGACCCATGTGAAGAATAGTGAGAAATCATTTCACAGCCGGACTGTTTCACCATCACACGTCTTTCCCAAAATCACTTTCAAGTTTACAACAGATACTTGAACGAGAGAGGAAGACATTTGATGTCCCTCGGGGGCAGCAAAGTCCACGAATAAAGCCAGTAATAAAAGCTTCTCGGTTATAAGGCCGCTTTACTGGTGTCCATCTGGCCTATAAAACAGAGCCGGCCAGATGTTTGCCTAACGCTGCATTTTTGTACAAATTCCAAACAAATAAACGAAAATCCAATGAATGCGCAATCACTCTCTCTCGTGGGTGTAAGTAAATCACAAAGCATCTCGCAATATGTCAGACATTCAGCACAAGAACTAAATGCTTTTGGTCATAATGTTTGATGAAAAGCTCTTTACCAGGATGAGTTCGTTCCCTCTCAGCTCTCGTGTCCAGTATGTTTTAGGGCCATTTCCGTCCAAAAGGGTCTGTCGGCAGGTCATCTTGTTCTCTGTCTCCCATGTGGCCAGGCTCTGCAAACAATTACAGGCTAATGGCTATCTCAAAATGGACATCTGTATTTACATGTACTGTACATGAGTTTATTCCTGGGCAGAATGTTTCTCAAAGGGATTCTTCTGTCTGTTCACTCTTGAATTATTGTGTCCACTGAAAGTTAAAGGCTCTCAGTGCATTGATTTGAGGGAGTGAATCATAAGTAATGGGCCGAGGAATGAAGAGCACCATAGGTGACCTGCTACATCACACGATGAGTCACAGCAATGCATTTGACCCTTCACCTCTGGGCATTCACTCTCCGTTTATCACCCTCGCTGCTCAAATCAAAGCTCCAGTAGTACTTTTAAAAATAAAATAAAAAAGTAAATTTCTTGCAATGTTGTGTCTTGCAAGAATCTTGCAAATCTGAATTTTTTTTCTCTCTCAGAATTGTCTGTATTTCTTACAAAGAAATAACAGCATTTATTCATTATAATTCAGATTTTTTTTTACAACTTTTCCTCAATTTCAACGTGTTAAAGCCTTTATTTCTCATATTTCCCATCGTTTACAGCTATTTCATGTTATAAGCTGTTGTGTAATTCAGTTTTTTACATAAAAATGACTTGCTGCTTGTTCAAACTACTTGTTGACAATGAATTGAAAGAACACCATTCTTAAGTTTTTGGTGGACAACTTAATTGTTTTATGTTCAATCTACTTACGTTTGTAAAAAAAAAAAAAAAAAAAAAAAAACAATAAGGTTAACTTAATCAATTTGTGTTGGGACAACAATAATGAATTGTGTGGAACCCAGCATTTTTTAGTGTAAGAGAAACTTACAGAATTTCTTTTGGACTTTCTTCCTATTGTAATTTCTTGCAATTCAGTTTATGCAATTCTAGTCATTAACTAATTTGTAACTCAAACATTTAACTGTCTAGGATTTTACATTTTTCACCTTCTCGAGAGCTATATTGAGTTAAAAACTCTTGGAATTCTGAGGTTTTTTTTTTTTTTTTTTTTTTTTTTTAGTTTAAAATATTCTTTTACTCTGCAGATTTATTTCTGAACGTTGCAAAAATTCTTGATTTTATTTATCAAAGTTGTTACTGTATTTTTCACAATTTAGTCCTTTTGAGCTATAGACGTCTCGCAATTCTACCAACATGAAGTTTTGAGGAAAACCAAAAACTCTATAAATTTATTATACAAAGTCTAAATTGCAAGATAATAAGATTTTCTAAAATTGGTTTATACAGTTTTTACTAATAAATTGCTCACAGTAAGCAACATTAAATCAAATATGACATATGAAAGGCTAAAAAATACTTTCTTTTAAACAAGGCTGGGCAAAGATTAATTACGATTAACCACATTCAAAGTGTGCTGTGTATATCTTTATAATGTATAAAATATTTAAATATACCCATGCATGCATATATATATATGCATGATTATATATATAATATATAATATATATATATACAAATATATAACAATATTTGAATGATTCTGTAGCATAATGTCTAAAGTAATGACAAAACCGTTGATTTTGCTCAAACTTTAAGATTATAAAGCTGAACGGCATGAAATATCATCAGTCTACAGAGATTTCTTGGTATTTCTCTGTTGCAATAGGGATATCCAGCCTGATCTCACGTAAGTATTTAAAACAAGGGTATTTAAAGTTTTGTCAGTTTAGTGACTAATTCGTACGAGTTCAGTCGTACAAAAATTTACAATTTTAAAAAGGAGGCGCGGCACCCAACCCCACCCCTAACCCCAACTGTCACTGGGTGATGAGCAAATCGTACTAAATTGTACGAATTGGATCATACGAATTCATAGAAATTAGCCACTAAATCAAAAAGTTACAAATTGCAGTGAGATTGCATTGAGTTATCACAATAATTAACCCTGAAAAAAACAAAGCGAAGCAAACAGTAACAGATTACATAGTATAAATACAGCACTACAACATACAAAAGAGAGAGATTGACTTACCTGTTTTATGATTATTTGATCAGCTGTAGTTTGAGATACGAAAAGAAAATGCTCAGTTTTTTCCCTCTAAGTGCTTATTAAGCAACATTTGTTGCAATCTTGTGGCACAACCATTTCTTTATGACAGGCTGATGGATGCTGACACACTGTATCTCTGAAATTATAAATATCTAAAATAGATACTGTCCTTTTAAATGAACTGCATAGGTGCAATCTAACAATACAAAACAATAAATATAATAAAAATACAGTGTAAATGATTGACTAAATATGCAGGATTGATTTCATGTTGTCAGATAATCTCTGCCAAATAACTAAACAGAAAATGCGTGGGTGTCCATTTAAGTCAAAAACAGATGTTTTTTTTGCGCCAAACCTGTGGTTGGGTTTATTTGCCTGTAAAAAGGCAGCAGTCATAAAGGTTAGCTTGTTAAAAAGGCTTTCAGCCTGCTGTCGCCCTGTTGCCCTTTCAGCAGCCTCTGATGGCCTGACAGACTCAGAATAAACACTCAAACACATGCTGTCATATCTGTGCTCACCGCTGCTGTAGTTTGCACACATTATCTATTGCAGCGCTGGATGTGACGGCTGCATTTGAATCAGATTTCCCACAGATCCATTCAAATCCAGGAGATTAAAGGTGGAAGACATAAGGGTGACTAAAGCTGGGCAAGATAAGCCTGCAGTATTGCTTTGATGCGCTTGTGTGTCATATAATCTAATTTAGCAAACTGTCTGGGACCCGCTGCTCAGGTGAAAGAGAGATTAGCGCAGCCACAAGCTGTCTGTTCTGCATTACAGTGGTAATCTCACAATTTGTATTGAGTAGGAGTCAAGACAGCATATGAGCATTATGATAAAAATGCTGGCTTGCTATAAACTAATGTTGGGTCAAATATGGAGAAACTCAGTGTTGAGTTCATTTCAATTTAATTTAAATGACATGTTTTAACCCAATGGTTGGGTTTTTTCCATAGTTGACCCACTATTGGGTTGTGATAAGCCAGCATTTTGCACTGCATGATTTAATTTAAAGAAATACTTTATTAAAGTCAGAAAACTTTTTTTTTTACTTTTAAATTTTGTATTCACTGATTATTTAGAATTTCAATTATTTCCACCCAATTAAAACCGTTAATATACAATTGTTTGACTATATTTGAACAGAAAATCTTATTATTATTATTATTATTATTTGCTTTCGAATGGTATTACGAGTCATGATCTCTGCTTTGACAACTTCTGATGTTGAGAATTTAATGATATTTCAATTAAATAATAATAAAGCCATTTAAAGATTTTAAATGTGACTTTTATTGACATGTTTAATAGTTTAAAACAATATAATTTCTCGGCTGGTCATGATGCTTCTAGTACTTTATTTTACAGATTTATTTCTTCGAGTGTTCAAAAACGGATGTATGCACTCCAAACAATGATATTCACTTAGAGTTGTATTAACCCAAATTTGAGTAAAATCTGGACAAACTCAAAGACTGTATCCTTTAAAAAAGTAACCCCCCCCCCCCCCCCCCCCCCCCCCACACTGATACCGTCTGAGGATGTATTTATATAATTCCTTAAGCTATATATTGCCTTGAAGTACTAAAAATATATAAAAAATCACATTGTTAAATTGCAGCATAACATTTTGACATTGTGTGGTTTATTTATAAACTAATTTTAAGAGAGTGTGATTATGATTGGCCACAGCTGGTCCAGCATTAGCTAATACACAATTCACCAATCAGTCAATTCCTAACTCACCATGAATAGCCAGAAATTCTTACCTCAGTTATCTTCGTTGTAAAGAATCCCTCCCTTCCACCCCTACTCCTCCTTCCTTTCTAGACGGGGGCCCAGTGATTAGCACTGTTGCCTTACAGCAAGAACTTCACTGGTTTAAGTCTTTAACAGGCCAGCCGACATTTCTGTGTGGAGTTTACATGTTCTCCCAATTCTGAAGTAGGTTTCCACCGCGTTCCTCAGTTTCCTCCCACAGTCCAAAGACATGCGACATGAGACATAGGTGAATTGACGAAACCAAATTGCCACTATAGACGAGCTCTAGTCAGCAGTATTTTCCATAGTAATTTATAATTTGTAAGCAGGGGAGTTCTTGAGATCTACCCAAGCTCAAACTCCCCTCCAATCGGGAGGGAGCCTCAAGCTTGAGGGTTTAATGAGCTCAGGGCTCTCTCCCGGGACAGCATGCCAAATACGCTTTATTATCACTCATCAGCAAAGGGTGAACTCTTGGGAAAAAAAAGTTTCAAAACAGAGATCAAGACTCAGAATGCAATTCGAAAGTGTAATGAAACACGTAGTGCAGGACGTTAAATGCTTAATTTTGGCTGGTGAACATTCTTAGGCGTGCAGTTATTTTCAGATAAATGCTTAAGTAGGTGCAGGCAGGTTTAAAGGTCCAAATCACTACATCAAATGATTTTAGTAAATCACAGCCTACAATAGCCATAAATCCCATCAAAACATAACAAATGGCTTTGAATAAGATTATTCACTGCAAAAAAAATGGGTTGCTGCTAGAGCAGATATGGTTGCGGCAAGAATTTAACAATTCAAAATTAATATTTAATATTTATAGTTAATATTTTAATAATGTCAACCCCAACCCTAAACCCAACTGTCACAGAAACGTAAAAACAGAAGTTCTACAGAGTATTATTTATGTTATCTATGTAACATACAGTCCGGAGTTGAAATTACATTACATAAACTCATTACATGAGTTTATGACACCTGGTGCCAGCAAGTCCGTCGTTGAAAGTCACTCTGTGACATCTCTACCAAGATGCTGGCCAGGACCAGCCTGTCCCATCTTCAAAGACATTCCAAAGAAAGAAAAACTCCATCCTGGGACCCACACACACATCCAAAACACACACTATTGAAAGGGACTCCTAGAAATCTAAAAAATTTAGCCCAGGGTACATGTATTGTGTTTGTAAACTTTTGTATTCTTTCCTTAATTTTTCTCTCAATTTTTACACCGATATATGCCCTTTTCAAGACATTAGACAAACTAAGAATGCTGTGAATGATGTTTTATGTATTTCTTAAAGTGTCATGTTAGGTGTTATTCTTCTCCATACATAGCTCATGCTCTAGGACACAGGATGGTAACTTGTATGCTTTGTGTAATTTCAAACCATGAGTTAAAGTTTTGTCTGTCTGTCTTGGGACAGTACAGGCCGAAGAGGAATTAAGAAAGTTTCCCACGCGACTTTTCCTCTCACGCCTTTAGTCAGTCAGGAGAGACTGAGAGTTACCTGACTAATGTCGTTAACTTCTTGTTACACCCCCACATGCTCGCAGTAGGTACCCAACACAAAGGGCAGGCCGTGTTTAAGTTAACTAAAACTTCTAAACTATTCTTCAACTTCACAAGAAATAGCTTTTATTCTCTTTCTACATAAATAAGTAATTTCGTTCATAAATAAATAAGTCCGTTTAGACAAACGGACAAAGTCTTTGTTATATTTATTTTGTTAAATTAACTGTAAGTTAATTCTGAATATTCACAATTAATAATAACTTGTTATAATTGATCATTAATATTCATAAATTGAGCTAATTTTGCTACACCTATTAAATTACCCAATAAACTGTATTTTTTAACATCTACCCCTACCCTAACCCCAATCGTGACAGTACTGTAAAAATATTTATTATTGTTATACAGTGTCATAGAAAATGCTGCTATATTGATGTGCATTTCACACTTCCGGATTGCAGTGTATTCCATCTACCAAAAAAATGCTTTTCTTACTTAGTTTTTTGTCTTGTTTCTCGTTCAAGTATCTACAAACAATAACAAATAACAAAATATTCATTTTTTTCTTTTGACAAATGCTTACCCCATTGGCAGATTATTTTGCTTGTTTTAGAGAAAAAAAAAACATTAAAACAAACTTAAACTTAAAACAAAGCAATATGTTTTGTTTGTCTAGAAAATGTTTATTAGTTATATATATATATATATATATATATATATATATATATATATATATATATATATATATATATATATATATATATATATTAGATATTTAGACATGAAACAAGACAAAAGTAAAAAAATATATATATTTTATTTATTTTTTATTTTATTTATTTTATTATTTTGCTGTGTAGGAATTGCAGAAAATGTTTAATAGTTTAATATTTTTTAGATATTTAGACTAGAGACAAAACAAAAGTAAAAAAACCTTTTTTTTAATTTTGTTTTCTATTTTATTTATTTATTTATTTATTTGCTGTCTATGAATTGCAGAAACCATTAGAGGACAAAAAATAAGAAATGTCTTAAATACAACATCTAAATAAAAATAACAGCATAATAACAGTATTTCTTCATAATAATTTCACATTTTTTTCTTTTCCTCAAAATTCCAACTTCTTAAATCCTTAATTTCACACATTTCTCATCTGATTAAAGCTATTTCATGTTATATGATGTCTGTTTTTTTACACTAAAAATGACTTTTGCTGCTTGTTCAAACTTCTTAATTAAAATGAGTTGGTAAAAAAGAGAAATGTCTTAAACACAACATCTAAACCATGTTCTTTAGGTGTGGTAAACATAATATAAGCAGATAATTAATTTTTTAATAAATCCATCTTGTTGAATTATTAGAAAACAAAGGTCACTCCCAATACCACTTGGGGCCTGCATTGTTTTTCTAATAATGCTATGGCCTTACATAAAACAACACCCATGATAAGCTAAAGGGAACAGTTAACTGCTATTTATACAGCACACACTTCTGATCAATTGACAAAAACATTCAGCACAAAACAGAAATCGTCTCGGCTGTGTCACCTTGCATTTGCGGCCATCAACGGTCTCCTCGTAGAACTCTTGTCCGATCTGGAAGTTGATCTCGGTGGTTCTGACGGTGGTGGAGGTCTTGATATAGAACTGCTCCCCGTTCTGACGAATCTCTACATGGGGTTTAGACGCAGCCGCACAAGCCACTTTTCTCAGCATCGCATTCACCCCTACACAAGAAACATCACATGAAACCTCTCACTTCTGTAAACATCTTCAGCTTTATGTCATTCAGACACAAACATCTCCAAATGAAATGATTATTATTTACAGTAGAGTCGTCACTCTTGACTGAGCTGTAATTATCCACTTGCATAGCGCACTCTAATTCTTTCAAGACAGCACACTTACTGCTCACATTTGCATCTGCTGCAATCCACTTGTTAAGTTGTGACTTGAAAGGATAGTTCACACAAAAGAAAATAAAAAATGTATCAGTTTGCTTAAAGGCAAGTGGTTATACACTTTCTCATGAACTCTTGTGTTGAAACTGTTCATTTAGACAATACGTCTCTATTGTTTTTCTATGTAAACATGCACTAGACAGTTGTGCATAACCATTATGCTTAAATACACGGGTTCATGAGTAGTTAATAGAATGAGTTAATGATTATGTGCCCCTCCAAGTAAAGTCATGACATAAAGATACACTAATGCGTTATGTTAGTTACATCCCACATAGCTAAATTTCTCTGGCCCAGCTCTGGCCTACACAATCAGTTCTGCTTGGCCCACATGCCACAGTGAATTACGGTACATGACTGGACCAAATCTGGCTTTCAGACAAGGGCCAAACAAGGACCGTATCTGGGCCAAGTTAATAACTCATAACTGGGTCCGAACTGGGCCAGATAGGTTGATGTGTCACGATTGCAATGAAATTGATAATCCCATAAAGCGTTGCGCTTTAGGCACACTATGGGCATGCTTTTTCTCAAAGTGACCTGATTGGTCGAATTTTTTTCTTTACTAAAAAAGTATTTTAATGTATTTTAAATGTGGGTCAAGACTGGCCAAACTCACATTTTTTTAAATTTGGGCCAAATACTACATTTTACATCTGGCCCAAATCTTGTGTGCCGCCTTAATGATGGTGCCACCTCTGCCAAACCTGGGCCATGTTTGGCCCACATGCTGTATGCCAGTGCCAGATGAATGCCTGCTGTGCCAGCCAAATCTGGGCCAGAATTCTTTGCTACTAGGAATTTAGTGGAAACTAAAGTGTTAATTAATACATTAATTAACAAATATGTACTAAAAAAGTAATTAAGGTAATGTGACTTGTTGTACCTACAGTTGATTCTTGATTACTAATGCATTAAGCCTTGTGTGCTGTTCAAAATTACTATTTCATTATGTTAAGGGCCGTTTTTGCCAAACTGACTTCCATTATAATGACATTTGTTTGCAAATCCATGACACCATATAATCATGCATTCTTGATTTTTGGTGGTATTGCCTGAAGGGAAGAGGTAAAATGTGCACTATTTACTGTTGATCATTCGTTGGCAGCATTAAACTTTTTAAGATTAAAAACTTAGATTTTGCTTGATAATGTTAGCAGGATTGTCATGCTGTCCCATGAAGAAACCCTGAGCTTGGAGATTACTGAGTCCAAGGTTAGGATCAGGTAGCTCTCGAGAGCTTCCAGAAATTGTTCTGCTTATTCCTTGATTATTGTGAGCGGCCCTAGAGGAATAGACCACCAACTAGCGCACGTAGTGAAGCTCTGTACTAAAGTACTCATATACTGTTCCTGTTGGCTTTTGTAAATTACTTATGTCACATGTCTTTGGACTGTAGGAGGATATCAGAGTACCTGGGAAAAACCCACGTGAGCACAGGGAAAACATGTAAACTCAAACCAGCGACCTTCTTGCTGTGAGGCAAAAGTGCCAGCAACTGAGCCGGCGTGTCGCCCAATCCTTGATTAATCTAGAAAGAGGAGGAGGGAGATGGGGTGGATGGAAGTGTTCTTTAAAAAAACGAAGATATGGGAGTAAAGTTAGACGGGATATTTATGTTGAGTTTGGAATGATCTGATAGCAGGGCCGGAGTGGGACTCCTTTTCAGCCCTGGAGTTTCAAGCCTTAGACCGGCCCACCTCAGTTCACGACTGACTATATTAAAATAACATAATTTCGAATTCAGTTTCTAATGACACAATCACGTATTTTTCAAGAAAACAGCTGCTTTATAAGTTGAAATGTTCAACAACCCAAACAGTATTATATGTCTTAACAATAAAAATAAAACAAAAAATAAAAAAATTCAATTAGAAAGGTAAGGATCAAACTCGGGTCCTGCAGTGTGGTAATGCAATGTGCTGACCACTGGACCACAATGGCACTATTGTTAAAATCTTGTCTATAGATTTATTAATGTAGTGAATCATATCATATGATTTTTATTGAGCAGGTGTAATATTCATTAAAATTAATTAATATTAAACTTATTAACTAAGGTGCCGCTGTTTGGTAATAGTTACGTCATCATTAACCTGCAGGTTGCATTTTGCTCAAGGGGCTGTGAGAAAATAAATAAAAAGTGCGGAGCTGCAGGAAAATAATGAATAAAAAGAGTGAGACTATGGTCAAATAAATAAAAAAAATGAAAAAAGTGCGACTGCTGAGAGTGAAAGCAGCTAGGGACACCGGCCCTCACGGCAAAAAACGGACCGGCCCACCGGCCCTCCCGGTCCTCCCGATTAACCAATCCGGGCCTGTCTGACAGGCTTACTAATGATTACAGATGGGGGAAAAGCCCTGATCACGTGCTCCTCTTAAAATTAGTTTGTGAAACTTCACTTAGATAGCTCTGTGCAAAAAAAGTTTCTGGCTTTTATATGGGGTTCCATGGAGTAAAACAGCAGATTATAGTGTGATGGCTTTGCAATCCAAAAATGTTGTTATAATGGAAGTAAATGGGGCAAAAACAGCCACCATCATAACGAAAGGGTATTCAATTAGGTAAGAGTGTATTGTTGAATTTATGAAAAATTTCAAAACATTTTCCCAAAATATGTGTTAAAATAAGATTTGTCACCAACATTCCTACTACGTGCTAAAACACAAAGACATTCAGGGCCAAATTAGGACTCAAAATCACCCCAGAATGGATGAAAACTTCCCTATCACATAAGAGTAAACTTATCATAATAAGGTCATGATAAAGTAATGTTTAGTTTACACATCTGTGCATTGTTTTTCAAGTACTGTTATTGTAAAATGGGGCAAAGCAGTGGCGCAGTAGGTAGTGCTGTCCCCTCACAGCAATTAGGTCGCTGGTTCGAACCTAGGCCCAGTTGGCGTTTCGGTGTGGAGTTTGCATGTTCTCCCTGCGTTCCCGTGGGTTTCCTCTGGGTGCTCCGGTTTCCCCCACAGTCAAAGACATGCGGTACAGGTGAATTGGGTAGGCTAAATTGTCTGTAGTTTATGAGTGTAAGTTTCCCAGAGATGGGTTGCGGCTGAAAGGGCATCCGCTGCGTAAAAACGTGCTGGATAAGTTGGCGGTTCATTCCGCTGTGGCGACCCCACATTAATAAAGGGACTAAGCTGACAAGAAAATGAATGAATGAATGAATGTTATTGTAAAATGCCATAGTGGAGCCATGAAGATCCATATACATTATGAAAATGCACATACAAAATTAAGCACACAACCGAGTAGGATAAACTTTTATATGATAAGACAAAATGTGCATAAACCATATATATTTTCAGAATAAATTCACATAAAAGTAATTTAAGTTATGTTTTAAGAGATCATGCGGCAAAAATGTATGCAATGGGACTGAACTGATGGACAAACCAGCTGACCAACCCCATTGTAAAACATCTGAAATCTTGCCTCGGTTTCTGCAAAATCCCTTAGCCAAAGTCTGTCTTTACAGTGGTACTATTACCTTCCGGAACTGTATTGAGCGTCTGCACTCACAAAGAGCATTCGATGTATTTTGTCTTTATATTCTAAGGCATAAGTAATTTATTATATAGGAATAAAAACCCATGTTGGCTTCTCCTACAACAGTAAATTTTGTTTTTCTTTTTAATATTTGGCAACACTGATTTTGTTCTCTTCCCAGAGATGGGTTGCGACTGGAAGGACATCCGCTGCGTAAAACAAATGCTAGATAAGTTGGCTAAGTTCATTCCACTGTGGCAACCCCAGATTAAAAAAGGGACTACGCCGACAAGAAAATGAATGAATGATTTTGTTCTCTTTGACTCATTGGATAGAAACTATGCTTTATTCGCTAAATTTTATGCAATGCATCTTATTAGCATCATTGGAATCCATCATTATTCACTATATCTTCCTTTGTCTTCAACAGAAGTAAGAAACTAAACATGTTAGGAACAAGTGAAGGAGAAGTAAATGGCAGAACTTTAATTTTTGGGTGAACTATCCCTTTAAGGCAGTGTTTCTGAACCACGTTCATGATGGACCACCAGCTCTGCACATTTCCATGTCTCCTGATTCAGATCTCCATCTGATTCAGATCATCAGCTCATTAGCAGAGACTGAAAGACCTGTAATAGGTTTGACGGACAAAGGAAACATCCAAAATATGCAGTGTTGGTGGTCCGGCAGTAGTGTGGTTGAGAAACATTGCTTTAAGGAACACTGTATATGATGTTCAAGCTTCATCTCATTTGAAACTCTTATCAGTAGTCCTTTATGACCACAGGAAAGTCATTTCACACATTAAAGGGAATCTTTTACAGAATCCCATTGTGCATCACAGTGTCTGGACTTGCTGCAAAAGTTTAGGAATATCAGGATCTGCTTTCACATTTTTTTCATAATATGACTGACATTCATTTTTCCTCATAATAAGGCAAAGAAAGCGCTCGTTTGGTTGTGGTATGCCATTAAATAGTTATGGAGTGACCACAGAGTAGATCGTTATCAGCAGATGTTGCACTGACAGGCTGTTGACTGGAAGGAATGCCTCAGCTCTTGTGTAGTGCCTACTTGGACAATGTTGAAACTCTACAAGTAAACTATTAGAGTGACTAACTGTCTGATCAGTTTCATGAACATTCAAATTCTCAGCATGGCTGTATTTATGCCTGAAAAAAGCATTTAGAGACTGAGCAGTTTGGCATCATTTGGATGAGTAGGCTAGTATTCAAACATTTATTCATACATTTTCTTTTTGGCTTAGTCCCTTTATTAATCAGGGGTCGCCACAGCGGAATGAACCACCAATGTATCCAGCATAAGTTTTACTCAGCGGACGCCCTTACATCTGCAACCCAGTATTGTGAAACTTCCATACACACTTTCACACACATATGTCCAATTTAGCTAATTCAAATCACGTATAGCTCATGTCTTTGAACTGTGCGGGAAACCAAACCCCTTTATTTCATTATTGTTGTATTTTAATGCATCGCTTTACGTTGTATTCATTTATTTATTTGAGTTATAAACTCACAATTTTTACTTTTGTTTGCTCAGAAATGCAACTTCTAAGTTCATCAGAACCCAGGCCTTTATCGCAAGTCTACTAATCAGCATTTGAAACAAATTTATTTGATTATCATATTAATCAATATCAAATTTATATTTTATATTGATAATCTTTATAAATGAATGCTGTCCATTCAGTGATTCACCAATTCAAAGAAACTTTTTACACATCTGCAAATACAATTTTAATTTGAAGTTTTCCATTGAGTCTTTCTAACTTTTTAATTCATCTGATCAGTTTCCACAAAATATCAGGCAGCACTATTGTTGTTAACACCGATAATGAGAAGAGTTTCTTGAGTAACAAATGTCAGCATGTCAGAAAAAGTCAATTCAGCTTTGAGATTACGTGAATAAGTAAAATTTAAAAGAGTTCAAATATAAAGAGAGTTATTTTAAATTGTAATGATACTTTAATGCACTGTATATTTGTAATGAAGAGTAAAAAAAAAAAAATTTACCATAAATTGTCGGTAGCTTGCGATTCACGGGTGTTTTCCAATTATTACTGCTTTTTTATTGTGTCATGAGACCTTGATATCTGCTCTAACATCTTTTTTTGTTGAAATATAAGCTCTGCAGTTTAATAAAGTGACTTTTACTGACATTTCCAGTTATCTTGTTTTTCTCTTAGGGTTTATTAATTCTGCTTTTTTGTTTGTTTGTTTGTTTGTTTGTTTTTGTTTTTGCTTTATTTTCAATTAAATAAATGTCCAGTGTAAAAAAATAGATGCTGCCTTTAATTTTATGTTAATGTTGAATCAACTTAACTTTCCAAGACATTTTAACTTACCTTTCAAAACTCAAAACAAATTTAATCTTGTCTAACCAATACAAAATAAAAAAAGTTTAAACAAGGCTAACATATTTAGCTGGAAGCACATCTGCTGCATAAAAACATATGCTGGAATAGTTGACAGCTCATACTGCTGTGGCAACCCCTGATAAATAAGGGACTAGGCCGTAGGTAAATGAATGAATGAAAAAAAAAAAACATAAGTGATCATGGCTTATTTTTACAATAAAGCCTTGGCAGAATTAAAGGTCCTCTTTCTTTAAAATATAATATAGATATCTTAGTCGGGACACTCAAAGAGTGATGTAAAGTTTTTTTTGTTTTTTTTTTATACATCCAAATCAAGACTGAAAACTCATCTGTTTAGCTGTGCCTTTACTGAATGAGCACTGTGCTATGTCCGACAGATTGCACTATTGTGTTTTTCTCTTCTTTTTCATTCCTTTATATCACATTTTACCTGTTTTTATGTTTTTTTAATCATTTTTATTATTTGTTTTTATTTTTCTTATACTTGTTTCTTTTATTATTGTTTATGTAAAGCACTTTGAATTGCCACTGTGTGTGAAATGTGCTATATAAATAAACTTTCCTTGCCTTGCCTGGCCTTAAGTTTTAATAATAAATAAATAAGTAAATAAATAAATAAATAAATAAATAAAATAGCTGAATAAATAAATAAATTTGCTATTTAAAAACATGTGCTGAAATAGTAGGTGGTTTATTCCACTGTGGCAACCCCTGATAAATAAGGGACTAATTCTAAGGAAAATGAATGAATGAAAAAAAAAAAAAAACATAAGTGATCATGGCTTATTTTTACAGTGAAGCCTTGGCAGAATTAAAGGTCTGCTTTCATCGAAATATAATAAAGATATCTTAGTCAGGACACTCATAGAGTAATATAAAGTTTTAATAATAAATAAATTAAATAATAAATAATTTTAACAAATGAATAAATTAATTAAACAAACAAACAAATTATTAAATAAAACAAATAAATAACTAAACAAATTAATAAATAAACAAATAAAACAAATAAATAAATAATTAAACAAAAAAACAAACAAATAAATTAAACAAACAAATGAATAAATAAATTAAACGAACAAATAAATAAATAAAATGACATAAATAAATAGACAAACAAATAAACAAACTTTTTGTGGCCTAATAATAATTTTTGTGGTTTTTTCATTTAATTGAAAGTAAGTAATAAAGTTTAATTTGGTAAATTCCTGGAAAAGGTGCAATGCTGTGCTTTAGCTAAAGTCTCAGCACTGCTTCGAGAATTTGAATAAGAATCCAGGCTTCCAAACTCGTGCTGCCAAAGACACAAAAGAGCCCGAAGAAGCAGTCCAGCAGCCCGAAAATAATAGTGATTTACTCTTCACACTAGTTAATCCATGAATATGCTATTGAAGAGCAAACAGCAGAGGAAGAGAGAGGATCCAGGACGTGGCCTAAAAAACAAGATCAAACAGTCTAGTGTGGTCCCATATAATAAAGAGAGTTTATCACTTACCCAGCGCTTTGAGAAGCTCCTCAAAATTCTCACTGCTCTTCATCTTCCAGGTTCCAGCAAAATTGGGCATCTTGACCCTCTTGCTTTCAAATCTTGCCTTTTATTTCAGAAGCCTATTGATCTGTTAGCACTCAGTGTCCACTCCGTTTCGGTCTCTATACTACAGTGTCAACCCCTCTTTCTCTCTCTGTAAGTGTGTGCGCCTTGCCTTCTGGACCAGGACTGATATCAAGCATCTGTGACGTTTGTCTGTGGTTCCTCCCTCTCGTCCAGATGGATGTAATGGCTTACAGGAGCAACCCATTCTCTAACGCTTCTCATTCATCTCACACACTTCAATTCAGCGCTTTAATACGAGCCGCTGTCACATTTATTCTCATATAAAGCTCCTAAAGACTTTAAGCAGTCGCTTCATACTCTTATGAAGTCATCTATCCTTCTGCCATTCTTCAACTTTGCGATGGAAGTGAGTGTAAGTGATAGGTTTCATTTTCTGCTGGTGCACTTTTTCCGAACATTTTTGAAAATTGCTGCCACTGCTAGACTTAATCATTTCTCCTCTCTCTCTCTCTATCTCTCTCTTTAAAAAAGAATAAGGCTTTACTAACTTTAGTGTTAAGTTTATACTCCAACAGCATTATGTTTCATTGTTCTGCTAGTTTTGTAAAAACATGTGGAAGGAAACGTGGAATTTTCTAACATAAAGAAATTATGAAAAAAACATGAAATTATGCAATATTTCTACACTGTAAAAAAAAATCTTTGTTGGTTTGGAAAAAAATCTGTAAAAATGTTTACTAGACGTAAATCAAAATTGTCTTCATTAAGTTTAAAAGATTAGTTTTATGAGCAAAACATTGCAAGTTCACTCAAAAAGGCTTCTGCCAACTTGTTATTCTCAGTTGAGTTAATCTCAGACCTCCTCACTTAAAAAATAAAAAATAAAGGTTGCAGCATTTCTAACCCTAACAACCACAAAAATAACAGTAACACCAATATTAACATTGATTTCATTATTAACAACAACAACAACAAAATACTACTGCAATAATGCAAATAAAGTAACGTTGAAATTATTGTTCATTTGTAATTTATCTTTTTTTGGAGGGGGCAAAGTTGCAGAAAGATTTTAAAAGTTTAATCTCACATTTATTCGCTCTACAAAAAGAAATGCTTAGCGCATGTGGATGTTGAAATTAACAATAAAAGTGATTTGATTTGATTTTGATTTGTGAATTTGCACGTTAGTTTGTATGTAACTGTTATGTAAATATATCGACTGTTTACCCTAACAAAAGTTAAATGATAATTCAAATGCTTAAAAAGATCAAATAATAAACTGCACTTTCAAAACAACTACCTAAATGATAAATCAAAAACGATCAAACAATAACTCAAAATGCATTCTGAAATGAGAAACAAATGTATTATTATTTAATTTTCATAAGCAACTCAGTAAAATCCTGTAATAATTAAATAACAAATCGAATGCTCGGTCACACTGAAGTTTGAGCTCGTGAAATTCTGTTGTACAGCACTGTAAAAAGGGGTGAGATTAAACAAGATAATTAGACATTAAAAAAAAAGCAAGTGATTGGTCCAAATTTTACATTTCTGTCCAGAGGTCATGTTTTGATCTTTGATTGGTCTTACGCAGTGATGTGATGCGATTTCGCAGGTCAGAGTTCACCAAGCTTGAACTTTACAATGCAGCAAACTGCAAAACTTGTTGCACGAGCTTGCGTTTCCGGTCACATCCGTGTGCCTATATGAATGGAAGTCTATAGGAAGAAAAGTCCAGTGTGACAGCAGCTTAATTCAGTTTCTGGTTCTTCCTGATTACACACACACAGCTGAAAGCTCATGTTGGACTGATTACAAGGACTTTAAAGATGCCTCATTCACACAGACTCTTTGCTGAGTCTTGTTTTTCACTGTGAAGCATTACAAAGCATTTGTCCCTGTTTGTTTTGGTCCTTGCCTTGTTTTGCCGATATTGTTGTTTTGCCTCGTGTCCTGTTTCTAATTCTGTGTCCAATAAATGGCTGTTTCTCAATATGCTTTCTTCAGCGGTCTTGTGTCCTCGTGTAACGTCGTCATCAGCTGCCAAAGTTCAGTTCCAATACTCAAGACTGCAAGAACAGAGGACGCATGAAACTTCCCGGATGTGTTCTTGATATCGAGGACGCAACGATGCAGATTTGAGCACCGCTCTTGCTCTAGAAGTCCCAGAAGTCATTGCGACTGGAGGTGGGAAGCGCTGCATTTTATTTAGATTTATTATTAAAGTTCAGAGATTTAACTTATTTACCTCAGGAGTTTCCCCTTAATGAAACAGTGAATTTAAACATTACCATGGGCATCTTAATAAATGAATAAACAAATTAAGGGTGTTTGTTTGCTGAAATTTGTTTTAAAATCTAATTTATTTGTTTTGTCCAATGCATACTTATAATGTTTTTAAGCATATTATATATTGTGAAAAGGGGAAAAAAATTTGTTTCATGAATGCTGTAATGTTTAAATAGTTTTCCATTTAAAACCCATGAAGGTCATGTGACCATTAGGAAGAACGCAGCATCTCATTCCTCAGAGGACGCGTTCTCTGTTCTTGTGGTCTTTTGAGTTTATTCTTTCGAGGACACCTGGCAAGTCCGGTCTCCAGAAAAACGCAAGTCCGTTCTCTGCATTCTTGGAATTGAGAAACAGCCAATGTTTTGCTAAAACTTGTCTCTGTTTTAGTTTTTTTTCTTCAATTGAGCTATGCTTGTTTGTTCTGATAATGTATTATTTCTTAGTATCAATTTCAACAAAAGTTTTTTGTTCATTCAAAAAACATTGTAGGTCAGTGCAGCTGATGTTTTCAAAAGTTAAGAAAGCAAAAAATAAATAAATAAATAAATAAAGGAAATAAGGATTATGATTTTGTTTGTCAACTCAACTTCAGGCATTCCAGTTCTGCAGACAAAAAGTGTTCAGTTGACACAACTTTAAAAGTTTAGTTACTGAGTAGTTCACCTCTCCAGAAAACTAATAATCTTATGTTAACCCAACTAAACGTTTTTTGTATTACTGACACATAATTTTAGCTCAGTGCAGCTGATGTTTTCAAAAGTTGAGTAAACAAGAAAAAGCAAAAGGAAATAAAGATTATGTTTGTTTTTATTGTACTGACTTAAATTTCTTAGTGTAGAATCTTTGTTTTATTTTTTACAGCTTCCAGAAATTGTATGCATGCATTTATTCAAATGTATTCCTTTGAATGAAGAAACAAACAATTATAAATGAATGAATGAATGAATGAATGAATGAATGAATGAATGAATGAATGAATGAATAATTATTGTTTTGCAATTCATATTAGCGAGTGCCCACTGAAAAAAATGATATATGCAAAATTGTTGCAAACAATTTGTTGAATTTACACAAACAAATTACATTTAGTCATGTTTAACTTAATTTGTTTGTTTAAATACAGCCCAAATGAATAGTTTACAATCACTTAAAAAAAATTGTAAATCCAAGGAATTATTTGATATTTTTTTCAGTGCATACCTGCCAAGTTCTCATATATTGGCTGTTTATTAACACTTAAATTATATTATTCCACAATTATACCCAATACCTAACCCAAAGTACTACCTTACTATTAATAAACAGCAAATCAGTAGTTTACTGAGCTAAAAGTCGAAGCTAATTATTTGTTAAATACAAAAATCCAGGGTTCCACACAATTTATTCATGTTGTCCCTAATCAAACCAATTAACGTACACATTTTAGTGGATTGAACAAAAAACAATGAAGATTAATGAAGATACATTTATGAGTGTATGGATAATTATACCTTAAAATAAAGTGTGACCTAAATTTGCTAAAAAACCTTGATATAAATCATATATTTAATCATTATTCTGCCTGTTTTGTCAGATCTGCATGAAATAAAAAGCTAATAATAATGTACCTATATTATTACATTATCAGTGTTTTATACTTGAGATATAAATTAGGGCCCACAATATATAATTTTTAGCATCGATATTGCAATATGCGAATCTGCAATATTCATATCGCACAATCTCAATGTCAAGTATAGACTATTGTTGACTAGGTGCTTGTAGATTAATGGCAAAGTTTAACCATTTAACGTAAAGTTTTTTTTTTTTTTTTTACCCTGTTAAACACATCAAGTGAGTTTAAAGCATTCAGGCACAAGAAGCAATAGCATTTTGAGCTTCAACAATCATACATTTGTATAGTAAAGACTACCAAGTGTCATTTTATGCTATATCTTTAAATATTCAACTGCTATTAAGACTTACCAGACAAATATAACATAAAGCATTTTTCTTCTTATTTGTACAATTTTTTAACCACAAAAAAAATCTAGTTTAAAGTTAGTTTTAACAATTTAGAGCTTCAATAAAACGTAAAATACTGTACTTTTTTAAAAGGGCAGAGCTGCTGTATGTGCCAATCTCTCTTAATGTTTCAGTTGAGATTACGTCAAACATCAAAAAAAAAAGATAATTAAGGTTCATTTTAATCATTTATGCAGATGCACTCAGCTATGAAAGCAGCCTAATCATTATGAATTAAAAATAGTATTCACCAAAAGAGTTATTCATTCTATCTAGTGAAGTATATTTCATATCGCAATGTATATCGCTGAAAACTAAATATTGCAATGTCAATTTTTTTCCCATTTCATGCAGCTCTAATATAAATTAGTCTATTTTTCCGTCTCTCTCTTTTAAAAGCAGGTCTAAACAAGTCCCATGAAGCCCCATTCATCCGGGATCCCCAAAGGAGAAGGACAGGAGCCCCCAGGAGAGAATGAGGGGCCCCGAGGCTGAGCTCCTCCCTCTCCTCCGGGGCCAGTCTGATTTGTTCCTGTCCCGATGTTGTTTCATTTATCTCTTTGACAAAGTGCCTTTGAGACAGCGCTTGATAATTAATGTCGAGAGAGGCCAGAGAGCACTTTGTCATTTCTCCTGGAAGCGTCCAGGAAAGGGAACGGAGCTCGCTCTCTCTCTCATCAGCCACCGTTTGGCCCATCAATCAATTGATTTGGTTTGGCCCTTTAGATGTTGCTGTGTGTGAATGTTTCTTTTCTCTCATTGTTTTTATAAGGCGCTAGTGAATGTGCCAATGTGTGGTCCATGAAATGGAGTAAAGCGCT